GGCCGAGACGGCAGAATCACAGGTTCAAGGAGACGAGACCAATGCCTGGCTGAACACGGTGAAACCCCCGTCTCACTAAAAAAATGACAAAAAAAAAAAGCCCGGGCCGAGGTGGCGGGCGCTGTAGTCAGCTACTCGAGAGCTGAGGCAGGAAGAATGGGCCGGAACCGGGAAGGCCGGAGCTTGCAAGTCCGAGCCGAGATCCGTCTTGCGCCCCAGCCTGGGCCGACCAAGAGCAAGACTCCCTCTCAAAAAAAAAAAAAAAATACAAATAGCTAGCAAGGGGAACATGCCATGATCCAGATACCGGGAGGCTGAGCAGGAAATCACTTGAACTGGGAAGGCCCCGGAGGTTACGTGAGCCAAGATCATGCATTGCACTCCCAGCCTGGGCAACAAGAAGTGAAAATCTGCTCAAAACAAAAAAAAAAAAAAAGGAGCTCTCTCAAACTTCTTCTTGAGGAAATGCTGAAGTGAAATTCAGCCCATAAGAAATAGGGGGCAAATTAAGACCTCAAAAATTAAGAAAGTCTTGAACAAGATTTGTGATGATCATTGAATCTGTTAATATATGGAAATTAACTGAATACCGTGTGCATCATTGGCTTTATACCATGTACCACCATATTAATATGGAATTAAAGCAGTGAATAAATAAGTAATGACTAAGAAACACTGGCCCTGTCCGGGGTAATGGAAGATATTATAGTACCGAGTGTGCTCTTATTGGGCTCACCAGTAGATTCTAATTTAAAAAAAGATTCTAACTAGAGCCTGGCCAGTTGCCTGTAATACCGCAGCAACTAGGGAAGGCTGTAACAGCGGATTTACTTGAGGCTCAGGAGTTCAAGACCCAAGTAATGGCCATTATTGCCAAGACCCCATTGCCTAAAACAAAAAAATAAAAAAATTAGCTGGGTTGTAGTGCGCATCGCCTGTGGTCCCAGCGTACTTGGGAGAGTTGGGGTGGGAGGAAGTCAGCAAACTAATGCAGGAACAGAAAACCAAATACCACATGTTCTCACTTATAAGTGGGAGCTAAACATTAAGTACACATGGACACCAAGAAGGGAACAACAGACACTGGGGCCTACGTGAGGGTGGAAGGGGGAAGAGAGAGAGGATCAAAAAGTTACTTATTGGGTACTATGTTCATTACGGTGGTGACAAAATAAAACGTACACCCAACCTCCTTGACACACAATTTACCTATATAGCAAACTACATATGTAACCCTGAATCGAAAATAAAAGTAAAAAACAAAAAGAGTTTTGGCCTGGCATGGTGGCTCACACCTGTAATCCTAGAATTTTGGAGGCTGAGTGGGGCAGATTGCCTGAGCTCAGGAGTTCGAGACCAGCCTGGGCAACATGGCAAAACCCCATCTCTACTAAAAATACAAAAAATTAGCCGGGCATGGTGGTGGCATGCCTGTAATCCCAGCTACTCGGGAGGCAGAGGCATGAGAATCACTTGAACCCGGGAGGTGGAGGTTACAGTGAGCCGAGATCACGCCACTGTACTCCAGCCTGGGCGACAAGAGCGAAACTCTGTCTCAAAGAAAAAAAAATGCAGAATCATAAAGCATTATACAATACAGTATACAGTTTTGTCTTAAGAAAAATAAGCTTATTGTATAAGCATTTTCTTTTAACTTAAGACTTACAAATTGAAGTAGCTTCAGGATTTTTCCATGAATATAGCCGTCTGAATGAAGTTTCCTGCCTTTAATGAACTATTTATAATTTCTTTAAAGGTTTCTTTAAACTGGAGCAATAACTGAAAGACATTTGTGAAGCAATCCGAATGCAAAGTTGATTACAAATCCCGTGGGTTTGTAATCAACTTTTCTTTTACAACATACTAAAGACATTTTTCATATCATTTTATGCAAATGTACCTCATTTTTCTTTTTTGAGAGAGACAAAAAAGAAACAACAACTCCCTGTTGCCCAGAGGGTAGTGCAATGGCAAGATCATAGCTCAATGCAGCCTTGAACTCCTGGGCTCAAGTGATCCTCCCACCTCGGCCTCCCTAGTAGCTAGGATTACAGGCACATACCACTACCCCTGGCTAATTAAAAAAAAAAATTTTTTTTTTTTTGGGTGGAGATGGGGTCTTGCTATGTTGCCTGGGCTGTATTCACTTTTTATTTATTTTTTTTTTTTAGAGACAGGGTCTTGCTCTGTTGCCCAGGCTGGAGTACATTCATTTTATGTGTACAAACCAATGATTTTTAGCAAATTTATAGAGTTGTACAGCCATCATATATATATGTACATAAATACATAGTTATTTTCTTAGGCCCTATTTAACTTACTCTCCCAGTTCTAAAATGTATTTACCTACTTACCTATGCCTACTGCATGCCAACATGACTAGAGGCAGCTTTTCAGAACTCTTGGATAGTTCTGTTCCTGTCAATTGAGCTACTTGCCTACTAAATGACTTTGGGCTTACTTATTTATTAATATATCAGTGATATTTGCTATCATAATTTAGTTAAATTTTTGAAAACATGAAATATGAGCATAAAGAAAAAAGAGATGTTGCTGTGAAAACCAAGTTAAACGCATTGGAAAGGCTTACTAAAGGCAAGTTGTTAAAAAAGATTGTTAAAGTAACTCTGGGTCAGAAATCTGAGAGTGGAAATTCTTCCACCTAGAATAATTTCACATCCAAACACTGTAGCTCACACCTGTAATCCCAGCACTTTGAGAGGCTGAGGCGGGAGGATCCCTTGAGCCCAGGAGTTCCAGGGTGCAGTAAGCTATGATTGTGTCACTGTACTCCAACTTGGGGAATAGAGCAAGACCCTGTTGGGGAAAAAAAAAAAAAAAAGTCATCATAGCACTATTCATAATAGCAAAGACATGGAATTAACCTAAGTGCCCATCAACAGTAGACTGGATAAAGAAAATGTGGTAGGTATACACCATGGAATACTACACAGCCAAAAAAGGAATGAGATAATGCCGTCTGCAGCAACATAGATGGAACTGGAGGTCATGATCCTAAGCAAACTAATGCAGGAACAGAAAACCAAATACCACATGTTCTCACTTATAAGTGGGAGCTAAACATTCACATGGACACCAAGAAGGGAACAACAGACACTGGGGCCTACGTGAGGGTGGAAGGGGGAAGAGAGAGAGGATCAAAAAGTTACTTATTGGGTACTATGTTCATTACGGTGGTGACAAAATAAAACGTACACCCAACCTCCTTGACACACAATTTACCTATATAGCAAACTACATATGTAACCCTGAATCGAAAATAAAAGTAAAAAACAAAAAGAGTTTTGGCCTGGCATGGTGGCTCACACCTGTAATCCTAGAATTTTGGAGGCTGAGTGGGGCAGATTGCCTGAGCTCAGGAGTTCGAGACCAGCCTGGGCAACATGGCAAAACCCCATCTCTACTAAAAATACAAAAAATTAGCCGGGCATGGTGGTGGCATGCCTGTAATCCCAGCTACTCGGGAGGCAGAGGCATGAGAATCACTTGAACCCGGAAGGTGGAGGTTACAGTGAGCCGAGATCACGCCACTGTACTCCAGCCTGGGCGACAAGAGCGAAACTCTGTCTCAAAGAAAAAAAAATGCAGAATCATAAAGCATTATACAATACAGTATACAGTTTTGTCTTAAGAAAAATAAGCTTATTGTATAAGCATTTTCTTTTAACTTAAGACTTACAAATTGAAGTAGCTTCAGGATTTTTCCATGAATATAGCCGTCTGAATGAAGTTTCCTGCCTTTAATGAACTATTTATAATTTCTTTAAAGGTTTCTTTAAACTGGAGCAATAACTGAAAGACATTTGTGAAGCAATCCGAATGCAAAGTTGATTACAAATCCCGTGGGTTTGTAATCAACTTTTCTTTTACAACATACTAAAGACATTTTTCATATCATTTTATGCAAATGTACCTCATTTTTCTTTTTTGAGAGAGACAAAAAAGAAACAACAACTCCCTGTTGCCCAGAGGGTAGTGCAATGGCAAGATCATAGCTCAATGCAGCCTTGAACTCCTGGGCTCAAGTGATCCTCCCACCTCGGCCTCCCTAGTAGCTAGGATTACAGGCACATACCACTACCCCTGGCTAATTAAAAAAAAAAATTTTTTTTTTTTTGGGGGGAGATGGGGTCTTGCTATGTTGCCTGGGCTGTATTCACTTTTTATTTAATTATTTATTTATTTATTTATTTTGAGACAGAGTTTCGCTCTTGTTGCCCAGGCTGGAGTACAATGGCATGATCTCAGCTCACCGCAACGTCTGCCTCCCAGGTTCAAGCAATTCTCCTGCCTCAGCCTCCTGAGTAGCTGGGATTACAGGCGTGTACCACCACGCCTGGCTAATTTGGTATTTTTAGTAGAGACGGGATTTCTCCATATTGGTCAGGCTGGTCTTGAACTCCCGACCTCAGGTGATCTGCCCACCTCGGCCTCCCAAAGTGCTGGGATTATAGGTGTGAGCCACCGCTCCTGGCCCTATACTCACTTTTTATAAAACTGGCCTCATATTATTCCATTGTATAGTGGATACACTCTAATTTCTTTACAAATTCTTTACACTATTTTTTTGATGTTTTGTTGAAAAAACTTGAGCAGAGAACTGAGATTATGAAGGTGGACTGAGGGATGAATCTGGAAATAGAGCATAAAATGGATTAAAGAGGAGAGAATGGAAAAGGAAATGATTGATGAGAGACCCTTGAAATAATCCAGCTGAGTTTAGGCCAGTTAGTGGCCATGGGTTTCCCCCTCACTCTTATGCATCCAACATATGCTTTCGTCCGTCTTGAAGTCCCGACATTTCTAGAAAACACAGTTGTCTTTCTCCTCTCTACCTTAGCTCATCTCAGTCCTTCTGAATTTCATCTTTGCTTGTTGAAATCCTACCTCTCCTTCAATATCCAGAACAAACTCCACAGCCTGCCATGATTGGTCCTGGCTGGAAATTGTCCCTCCTCCCTTTCTTCCTTCCTTCGTGCATGTTTCTTCCAAAGGCAGTACAGGGCAGTGCTGAAGAGCAACGACTTTGGACCCACCAATTTGCTATCTCTGTGCCCTTGGGCACCTTACTCAATGCCAGTTCTCAGTGCCTCAGTGTCCTCACCTGTCAGAGGGGGAGGAGAGCATACAGCGTTGTTATGAGGAGCAAATCAGTTAAAGTTTGTAAGAATAGTGCCTGATAGTATCTGATCAGCGCTGAATAAATGTTAGCAATTGTTTTGATTCACCGCAGAGGGCGGTCTATGAGAGCGCGGAGCCCCACTCGGCCAGCGGGGCCTGGCGGGGGACCTGTCGCGCTGAAAGCTCCAGGGTAGGGCCAACGCCCATCAGGCTGCGCATCCGTTCGGGATGCGCAGGTTGCAGTCTGCAGCCGGCGGCGCCACGCCCAGGCGGGCGGAGCGCGGCTCCGGGAGGCGCGAGCCCGCGGTCATGTGACACAGTGAAGATGGCGTCGCCCAGCTGCCTGTGGCTCTTGGCTGTCGCCCTCCTGCCATGGACCTGCGCTGCCCGGGCGTTGCATCATCTGGACCCGCCGGCGCCGCTGCCGTTGGTGATCTGGCATGGGATGGGTGAGTGAGTGAGAAGCTGAAAAGGGTTTGGCGATTCTCTCTCCTCCTAGCCTCGGTTCGCATCTGCAAAATGCGGGTGTAGAGGGCGAGGACCTGGCCCCACAGCTCGCGGCTGCCTCGACATTTTAGGATTTGAAGGATTTGAAGGATCTGCATTGGAAAGAGAGAAGGGGAAGGAGCCGTCCTTTGATGAGCTCAAAGAGAGCCGCGCACGGCGTTGAGGTTTTACATGCTGTCCTTGATTAATCCTTACAGTAGTGGCGTCAGGATGCGGCATCTCGCACTTGATCAGGCTAGGTGAGCTGCGGCTGGCTACATGACTGGCGCATCTACCCTTTTATTTATTCCTTCACACATTGAACAGAGCTTTGTTAGGCACCTACAGTTCATTTACAAGTTGAGTAACCCTTTTCTGAAATGCTTGGGACTGAGAAGTATTTCGGATTTTTAAAAAATGTTTGCATATATACAACAAGATATCTTGGGGGTTGGACCCAAGGAAATTCATTTATTTTTCGTATATACCTTATACACATACCTGGAAGTTAATGTTTTTTGTTTTTTGTTTTTCTCGGCCTCCCAAAGTGCTGGGATTACAGGCTTGAGCCACCGCGCCCGGCCTGCTGGAAGTGAATTTTATGCAATATTTTAAATAATTTTGTGCAGCCTGTCACATGAGGTCAGGCGTGGAAATTTCCAATTGTGGCATTATGTCTGCTCTGAAAAACTTTCAGATTTTGAATTTCGCATTTTCAGATTAGGATGCTCAACCTATATTAATTTAACACAGTTATTGAGCACCTACTAGGTGCTGAGGATACAGTAGGGAACTAAACAGGCTAAAGTCTTTGTTCTTTTGGAACCTACTCTCCAGTAGGAGGAGCAGATTATAAAGAAATTAATAAGTAAAACATAACATATCAAATGGTGATAAGTGCAATGGAGAAAAGTATAGTAGGGTGTAGGATAAAGAGGTGGGGGCTTGCACTTTTAATAAAGCAAAGTTGGGAAAGAATTCATTAAAAAAGTGACATCTGAATGCAAAACAGGTGGATGAGGACAGTTGCCATTTGGCTATCTGGTAGAAGGAACAGTAAATGGGAAAGCCCTGATGCAGAAGTATGTCTGGTATATTCAACAGACAGCATTCAGGTCAGTGTGGCTGGAAATGAGTGAGCAAGGGGAAGAAGTTAGGAGTTTAGTTTGGAAGGGAGGGGCAGTTACAGAAGTTATTGGGCCTAGTAAGACTAATGCAGGGACTTTGGCTAGAGTGTCATGGGGAACTATGTGACCACATGAGTGACATGATCTGACACATTTTTAAAGAATCACTTTAGTTGCTGTATTGAGAATAGATTGTAGGGGTTCATGGATAGTCACAGGGAGACAGGTTAGGAAACTATTGCAATAATTTAAACAAGAGATGATGATGGCTTGAAACTGTAGAGTAACAATAGAGGTGTTGAGAAGTGGTCAAAGTTTGGATAGATTTTGAAGGCGGATTGCTAACAGATCAGACTTGGAATAAGAGAGAAAGAAAGGAGCCAAGGATGACTCCACAGGTTTTGGCCTGGACAATTGGAAGGGTGAAGTTTTCGTTTTACCAAGATGGGGAAGCCTGTAGGACAAGCTGACTTAGGGTGGGGGAAAGATCAAGAGTCTGCTTTTGGGCTTACTAAACTCGAAATCCTCATGAGACATCCAGGAAGTGTTGTAGAGGCATGGAGCGTGGAGTCTAGGACAGAGATACCGGCTGGAGATTTAAGTAGGGAGTCTTCGGCATACAGCTCGTAGTTAAAGGCCTGGTGAGATCACCTAGGAAATGAGTGTACACAGAGGACTGAGCCCTGAGGTACTCCATTCCCTTTGAAGGTGAAGGAAATGAGGAGAAACTAGCAAAGGAGACTATATCCGAACAACCAGTGAAGTGGAGGGGTCAGGAAAGCTCAGTGTCCTTGACGCCAAGTGAAGAAAGTGTTTCAGGAGGAAGGGCATGATCAACTGCATCAAATGTTGATAGGTCCTGAGTAACTGTATCAAATGTTAATGGGTCAAGGAAGATAAAGGCTGACAACTGATTATTGGATTTAGCAATATAAAGATGACTAATCTTGACAAAAGCAGTTTTGGGAGAGTGGTGACAGTGAGAGCTTCATTGGGATGGGTTACAGAAAAATATTCAGAGTAATTAGAGTGAGCAAATACAAACACTTTCAAGGTTCTGCACCAGGCCCTGGGGCTACTACTGTGGGGTCAAAAGAGGACACAAGTTAGGAGCTTTGTGTTTTCCCAGAGCTCACAGTCAGTTGCAGGGGAGGCAGAGGCAGTTAAGTAACCTACAATTACAGCTCAGTGTGGAGAAGGTTGTTTTCAGAGAAATAAAAGGAATAGACGATTCTCTAGGCAATAGCCTTTTCTTCTTCTAAAATTAGTGCTTAAGCTTTCTTGCAGGTTGAAAATGGAATGAGTAAGTTCGAAATGGGAAATGATCTCACTCCACTTCTCCTACTCAGTAGCCAGTTTGCTTCCTGTTCCTAGTTCTAGTTCCTTGAAATAGAAGAAACAAGTCTGGGATTAGGACAAGATGAAGAGGCTCCTGAAATGCAAATTTTAAGGAGGCACTCACTCTCAAATTCAGGGTCAGCACTTACATAAACCTGAGAATGAGTGCCTCCTTAAATTTTGTGCCCTAGAGCAGGGGTCCCCAACTCCCTGGGTCGGGTCTGTGACCTGTTAGGAACTAGGCCACACAGCAGGAGGTGAGTGAGCCTGGAGCCTTATGGCCATGAGCTCTACCTCCTCTCAGGTCAGCAGTGGCATTAGATTCTCATAGGCGCTCAAATCCTGTTGTGAACTGCGCATGTGAGGGATCTGGGTTGCGTGCTTCTTATCAGAAAATAACGAATGCCTGATGATCTGAGGTGGAACAGTTTTGAAAAATTGTCTTCCACGAAACTGGTCCCTGGTGCCAAAAGTTGAGGACCGCTGTCCTAGATGCTTCATTTGCCTCACCCTAGTCCTGGCCCTGAAGACAAAACTTTGCATCTCTTCACCCCAAATATCCTGTGTGATAGGGGAAGGGAATGTGTACTTGTGCTTATTTTTCATTTGTAAATATGGTGTCTTAATTATCCTATATGGGCTTTTTGGGTTTTTTGAGACAGGGTCTCATTTTGTTGCCCAAACTGGTCTCAAACTCTTGGCCTCAAGCCACCCTCCTGCCTCGTCTTACCAAAGCGCTGGGATGATAGGTATGAGCCACCATGCTTGGCCTATATGGAATTTTTTTTTTTTTTTTTTTTTTGAGATGGAGCCTTGCTCTGTTGCCCAGGCTGGAGTGCAGTGGCATGATCTTGGCTCACTGAAACCTCCACCCTTCAGGTTCAAGTGATTCTTCTGCCTCAGCCCCCCAAGTTGCTGGGACTACAGACACGCACCTCCACACCCGGCTAATTTTTGTATTTTTAGTAGAGATGGGGTTTCACCATGTTGCCCAGGCTGGTCTCGAGCTCCTGACCTCGTGATCCACCCACCTCAGACTCCCAAAGTGCTGGGATTACAGACGTGAACCACGACACCCAGCTCCTGTATGGACTTTTGAAGCTTGTTATTACTTGATGAACAGGAGCTAAGCAAAAAATGTTCTTTCTTCTATTTTTTAAAATTGAGGTAAAAATTCATATAAATTTAACCATTTTAAATTGTGCAATTCAGTGGCATTTAGTGTATTTGCTATGTTGTGCAACTAACACTTCTCTCTTTTTCAACGCCCCAGGAAAACACACATAGCCATTAAGCAATCACTCCCTGTTCTCCCCTCCTACTACTTCTTGATAATCTCCAACTTAGTTTTCTGTATATCAGTGGATCTGCCTATTCTTTTTGATCATATAAAAGGAATCATGCATTCTGTGACCTTTTGAGTCTGGCTTGTTTCACTTAGTGTAATGTTTTTGAGGTTCATTCAAGTTGTAGCATGTGTCAGCACTTTCTTCCTTTTTATAACTGAGTAATATTCCATTGTGTGAATATACCACATTTTGTTCAGTCATTCATTCATGGCCTTCTGGATGGTTTCTCCCTTTTGACTATTACAAATATTGCTGCTGTTAACATCTATATGCAAGCTTCTGTGTAGACGTGTGTTTTTATTTCTTTTGGGTGTGTAACTAGGAGTTGAATTGCTGAGTCATTTAGTAATTGTATGTTTAACTTTTTGAGAAACCACCAAACTGTTTTTCACAGTGGCTGCTTATTACATTCCCACCAGCAATATCCAAGGGATCCCGTTTTTCTACATCCTTGACAATACTTGTTGGTTTCTATTAAAAAGTATTATTAAAGACATCCTAGTCTGTGCGAAATGGTATCTCATTGTGGTTTTGGTTTGCATTTCACATGCTTTTCACATGCTAATTGTTAGACATTTGTATATCTTCTTTGGAAAAATATCTGTTTAATTCCTTTTCCCGTTTTTAAATTAGGTTATCCTTGAGTTGTAAGTGCGTTATAAATTCCTAGTATATTCTGGATATTAAGCCCTTATTGGATAAATGTTTTGCAAATATTTTCTTCCATTCTGTACATTGTTTTCACATTCTTGATAATGCTCTTTGAGGCCTCAAAGTTTTTAAAGAGTAAATAATATTTTGACTTATGAGTTTCCATCATTGTTTTTTGTTGGCTAGGAGACAGCTGTTGCAATCCCTTAAGCATGGGTGCTATTAAAAAAATGGTTGAGAAGAAAATACCTGGAATTTACGTCTTATCTTTAGAGATTGGGAAGACCTTGATGGAGGTAAGGCGCTTCACAGCTGTTCCTTTGAGGAGTTGCTGACTGCTTTCATAGCATATACTGTTGAAATGCTTTGCCTTGTGTTTTTAGCAGCAAACCATACAATGATACTTTCACCCTTGAGTGGCTCGTGTGAGGATACGAACCTAAATGAGTTTACCTCTTAGAGAAGATGTCAGTGGTGGTTTTCAGTCCCATCCTGTCACTTGTCTCTGGCTTCTTTTTTAGGACGTGGAAAACAGCTTCTTCTTGAATGTCAATTCCCAAGTAACAACAGTGTGTCAGACACTTGCTAAGGATCCTAAATTGCAGCAAGGCTACAATGCTATGGGATTCTCCCAGGGAGGCCAATTTCTGTAAGTTCCTTTTTGTTACATTGTACCACTTATAGGGAATGGATTTTTTTTTTCTTTTATTCAGATAAATCCAGTCCTTCACAATTCAAGATTGTCACCTATCTTGGAAGGGAAATTTCCTAAAACGTTCCCGTGTATGAAGCTTTATGGAACTTAATTTCTTTTCTTTTTTTTTTGAGACGGAGTTTTGCTCTTGTTGCCCAGGCCGGAGTGCAGTGGTGTGATCTTGGTTCACTGCAACCTCCACGTCCTAGGTTCAAGCGATTCTCCTGCCTCAGCCTCCCGAGTAGCTGGGACTACAGGTGCTCACCACCATACCTAGCTAATTTTTTGTATTTTTAGTTGAGATGGGGTTTCACCATGTTGTCTAGGCTGGTCTCAAACTCCTGACCTCATGTGATCCACCCACCTTGGCCTCCCAAAGTGCTGGAATTACAGGTGTGAGCCACCGTGCCCGGCCAGAGCTTAATTTATTTTCTATGAAAGTTGAAAGAAAGATTTGCATTCGCCTATATCAGAGGAAAATCCTGAAACTCTGTGGGTTTGGGGAACCACAGAGGATGACCAGCTTAATGTGTGATGCCGATTGTGGATGATACATTTCCATCTGACAGTCGGAGCTGAAACTCCCTTTTATTCCATAGGAGGGCAGTGGCTCAGAGATGCCCTTCACCTCCCATGATCAATCTGATCTCAGTTGGGGGACAACATCAAGGTAACTTTGCCTCTTTGCTTTCTTTTTTCTCTGTTCTAACCCACATGACCATGTGATTTTAAAAAAATCTAGGAACTGTATTTGCACAAGACATCAGCCATCCTTGCAAAATCCTGTTTCTCTAGCTTTTAACAAACTAGCTAGCATTGCTGGAGACATAGGAAGAGACGTAGGATTCCAGAGGCCTGCATCACTAGGTTGACATCTACTTCTCTCCAATTTTGTTGACACGATTGCATGAAAGTGAGATGGTTATAGCCACTGGCAGGTGGTGGTTGAGGAGTTAGGAAAATCGAGTGACCTTTCCTGTTCTCTGACTTGGTGATATCCTCTTGAATTTAGGCTTAGGCAAAGAATAGTGTGTAAGCTCTTTTGTCTTTAAATTTAAACCCTTTGAGAAATAGCAGGTTTTCTGTTTAGACAGAATTCCATACTTTTGGGGAAGGATGTGTCTTTAGAATGGAATTTCATCTCTGTTGCGATGGGTATAGCTATTAGCTGGTATAATGTGGGAGCAGAATGATTCTCCATATCATCAGGAAACCTGGACTCACCCAATTAACTATTAGTCATAGGCAAGTAATTTGGTATCTTAGGTTCCACTCACAGAGGAAACCAAAATATGGTCCTGCCTGTCTTATAGGAATTTTTCAGAGGATAAAGTGAAATAATAGGTAGGAAAACACTTTTTAAAAGTATAAGGATTATACAAACACAGGTTGGTAAAACAAGCTTTATTATTCATTCAACAAATATTTATTGAAAACCTACTATATGCCAGGAACAAGACAGACAAGGTCCTTACGTTCGTGAAATATATACACACACGCATGTGCACATATATACACATACATACATAGACATATGCACATATATACACACATACATAGACGTATATATGCACATACATGCACTTATATACACACATATATATACACACATATATATGTACACGATAAAATAGAGGATAGCCGGGCACGAGGTGGCATATACCTGTAGTCCCTGCTACTTGGGAGGTTGAGGTTGGAGGATCATTTGAAGCCAGGAGTTCGAGGCACTGTGGCATGCTATAATTGTGCCTGTGAATAGCCATTGCACTTTAGTCTGGGCAACATAGCAAGACCCAATCTCTTGGAAAAAAACAAGAACAACAGGATACTATGTGAAGGACACACTAATGGTTGTAGTGCTTAAAGGAGTGGGCTCTGGGGCCAAACTGCCTGTGTCTGATCCTTATCCCTTATTGTCTAACTTTGGACAAGGTATTTAACCTCTCAGTTTTACAGTTTTCTATCTGTGATATGGGGAAAATAACGATATCTACTCCACAGGCTGGTTGTGAGGATTACATTAATTATTGCCAATATTTTGCTCAGAACTATTCGTGGTACTCAAAACAGTGTTATTGATGAGGATACTAAGGATGAAGTATAACTGGGGGAGGGGAAGGAAATGAGGATGGGTACTATCTGAGGTAAGCTGGTCAGATATGACTTGCCTAGGACCAAGACCTGAGAGCTGAAAATGAGTCCAGCCATGTGATGCAGCACATCCTCCAGGGATGAGCAGGTACAAAGATCCTTAGGTGGGAAGGAGTGTAAGCAGCACCAGGAGGAAGCTGGTGATGGTATTCGTTCTCTGCACTTTATTTTCATGAGGAACAAGTGAATGAGATCAGAGTTTGGTCCTGTTCGTTTTGTTTCTCACAGCGCCTCGTGCATAGTGGGTATTAGATACATGATTACTGAAGGAATGAATATTTGTCATCTACCTCTGTAGGTGTTTTTGGACTCCCTCGATGCCCAGGAGAGAGCTCTCACATCTGTGACTTTATCAGAAAAACACTGAATGCTGGCGCGTACTCCAAAGTTGTTCAGGAACGGTATGTATGGTTAGCTGAAAAGATTACACACCTGTCACCGTGTGAAAATACCATGCCGACTTTCATGCTCACAGTGATTCCAGCAGTAGTTCCTTAGGACATTCAAATGAGATCTTTTTTTTTATTGAAACAGAGTTTCGCTCTTTTTGCCCAGGCTGGAGTGCAGTAGCGTGATCTTGGCTCACGGAAGCCTCCACCTCCCAGGTTCAAGCAAGTCTCCTGCCTCAGCCTCCAAGTAGCTGGGGTTACAGGCATGTGCCACCACGCCCGGCTAATTTTGTATTTTCAGAAGATACAGGGTTTCTCCATGTTGGTCAGGCTGGTCTCCAACTCCTGACCTAAGGTGATCCACCCGCCTTGGCCTCCCAAAGTGCTGGGATTACAGGCGTGAGCCACCGCGCCTGGACTTCAAATGAGATCTTTTTGTACCATCTGCTCAATTTCATTGTAAACCTAAACTTGCTCCAAAAAGTCTATTAATTAAAAAACAAAGAAAGACAAACAAGGGCATTTTTCTATGTAAGAAGAATGTAATTATAACAGAATAAATTTCCATCTTTAAAAAACAAACAGAAAGCCTTTAGAAAGTACTAAGCTCAAGGAATTATTGTTGGTATTTAGAGGACAGATTCTTTATGTTGGTAGCTACTCCCTACATCACTGTCCCTGACTCCGCAAATGTGTTTGGGTATTTAGCATGGCCAGCCTGGCACGATGGCTCACACTTGTAACCCCAACTCTTTGAGAGGCCAAGGCAGGAGGATTGCTTGAAGCCAGAAGTTCAAGACCAGTTTGAGCAACATAGTGAGACCCCTGTCTCTATTAAAATCTATTTAAAAAAAAAAAAAAGATGCAGAATTGCTTTTGCAGTGTGTGCTTGTTCATTTGTTTCCAAACTTAATTGTATATCAGAACCACAGGGAAATTCATTAAAAATGGATTTCTGGGCTCTATCCTTAGAAGTTGTAGGCCGGGCACGGTGGCTCACGCCTGTAATCCCAGCACTTTGGGAGGCAGAGGCGGGTGGATCATGAGGTCAGGAGTTTGAGACCAGCCTGACCAACATGGTGAAACCCTGTCTCTACTAAAAATACAAAAATTAGCTGAGCACGGTGGTGCCTGTAATCTCAGCTACTCAGGAGTCTGAGGCAGGAGAATCGCTTAAAAAGCCCAGGAGGCGGAGCTTGCAGTGAGCCGAGATTGCGCATCGCACTCTAGCCTGGGTGACAGAGGGAGACTAAAAAAAAAAAAAAAACAGAAGTTGCGATGGTAGGTCTGATGTTCTCTAGATGATAGCTGGAGTTTGGGATCAACTAATATCCTGTGGGTTTTCCAAGTGTCTCCTTCTTGTCAAATAACAACTTTTTATTACAGTATATTCTTGAAGCCATTTTCCAAGATACAGCCTTGTGACTGACTCATGTTGGAACAACCTACAGCTAGCTGTCTTTTCTCTTCCCACTCATTGGCTACACAAATAGCCACAAAGCTGTTTTGGGTCAACAGTACCACCTGATGGTTTTTATAGAAAACTAAGATACTCTGTACCTCTGTCTCCTTTTTTTACCCTCATGCTACACCAGGCTCTCCCCTTTGCCTGGTTTGATTGACTGTGGCTAATCACAACTTAATTATTTATATTCTACATATTCTTTGCTCTCATGGATTTGCATGGTATTTAGACTTCATTCTTCCTCCTTTACTCTTGATTCTCACTCTTGCCCAGTTGCCTCCAAAAAGCCTATACTTTTCTTTCTTTGTGTGAACCAAAATAGCTCTTGGCAATCAGAATTCTGTTAGTGATGCCAAGTGAGCAGTCCATCAGGGGGTGACAAGTGACACGTAAATACTGATTAAGGTGGGTGCGGTGGCTCATGCCTTTTATCCCAGCACTTTGGGAGGCCTTGGTAGGCAGATCACTTGAGGCCTGGAGTTTGAGACCAGCCTGGCCCACATGACGAAACTCCATCTCTACTAAAAATACAAAAATTAGCCAGGTGTGGTGGCGCACACCTGTAGTCTCAGCTACTCCGGAGGCTGAGGCTAGAGAATCACTTGCACCCAGGAGGTGGAAGTTGCAGTGAGCTGAGATCGCGCCTCTGCACCCCAGCCTAGGTGACAGAGTGAGACTCTGTCTCAAAAAATAAAAATAAAAGATACTGATTAAAAGCAGTAGATTGATGTGTTTATCTTCCTCCTTAAATTTTAATGAAGTGGTAGCAGAAGAATAAAAAGTGATAAACCCACAAGAGCAGAGAGAACAGGGAGAAAGGAGGTAAGAGACCATAAAAAATGCCAACATGTTTTTGAAAGCAAGCAAGCAGATGAATGAGTGTGAGAACTGTTTTAGCAGAGCAGATGGTGAAGGCTTAAAGTAACAAGGAGAAATCATTTTGTCTTTGTGATACTGTCCTAGGTTGCCCCTGGTATTAGGGAAGATTAATTCTGGTTGCAAGAAGGAAACCATATCAAGCCAAAGTAAATTTTAAAAGAAAGTAATACTCTGTTGGTGCCTAAGGCCTCACAGGGCCTGGAATCAAGAATTGGGAGCCACGAGGAGCCAGGGTATTCTCTCTCCATTGCCATTGTTGCTTCTCTCTCTGTGTCGCTGCTGCTTCTCTCCATGCAGACCAGCTTCCCCTGCCACCCACATGATGGAAGGTGGCCTCGCACAGCTTCCAAATGTTTAATCTTCTGTTAGGAGATTGTCTCAGTCTGAGGCTAGAATCTCTCTGTCCTGATTCAGATTCTTCGGGAAGGGACCATGCCCCGGCTCAGGTCAGGTGTCCACCTCTGCTCTCATTAACTGTGGCCAGAGAAGTGGAACCATGCATACTCCCCATACCCACCTCCCTGTAAACCAGTAGGCAGGGCAGGAAGAGTGCAAGAGTGGGACTTAGGCAGAGACCCCAAAAGAGGTCTTCCACATTCTTCAGATAACTTAACCTTAGCAAAGCAAACATGATATCCTAATCCACACAGTAACTGGTGAGGAAGCCCCCGGCTTGGCATGATGAGGGCAACGAGGAATGGTGTAACAGTTCTCGCTCTGCTTCCTGGATGTGAAATCTACCCTCTAGTTCCCTTTTGCCTTCGCAGGTGCTGTCAGCCCTTCCTAGCCTTCTCCTTCCTCCAGTTTGCTCTCTGCCATGCCCCGCCCCATGCTGTACCCTCCCACCCCTACACTCCCTGCCACAATGAATACTTCAGTGTTGCCCTGGCCTCGGCCTTGGCCTCCATCTTCCCCTGTTCCAGCTCAGGGGAAGCTAGAGCTTTACATATCCTGTTTAATTTTCATAGCAACTTGCCCTCCCCAGGTCTGCTCTGGGCCCTGCTCCCAGTTTGCACCCCACCCACAGTGGATCTCAGAGTGCTTGTCCCTAGTTGTCCTGTTTTCCTCTTTGTCCTCAGCTGATGAACTTGCAACTTTGTTTTCTGGAAATATTGAGGCATCTACTCAGGCTGTCTCAGAGACTTTTCAGCCATTCAGAAAAGTGAGAGAGTAATGTACCAAACTACAGGCATACCTCAGAGATACTGAGGATTCGGTTCCAAACCACCACGATAAAGCAAATACTGCAATACAGCAAGTCACACAAATTTATTGGTTTCCCAGTGCATATAAAAGCTATGTTTACACTATATTGAAGGCTGCTAAGTGTGCAGTAGCATTATGCCTAAAAAAAGTACATGCCTTAATTAGAAAATACTTTAATGCTAAAAAATGCTAATGATCATTTGAGTCTTCAGCAAGTGATCTTTTTGCTAGTGGAGGGTCTTGCCTGGATGTTGATGGCTGCTGACTGATCAGGGTGGTGGTTGCTGAAGGTGGGGATGGCTGTGCTAATTTCTTAAAGTGAGACAATGATGAACTTTGTATCAATTGACTCTTCCTTTCATGAAAGATTTCTTTGTAGCCTACGATGCTATTTGGTAGCATTTTGGCCACAGTAGAACATCTTTCAGAACTGGACTCAGTCCTCAAACCCTGCCACTGCTTTTATGTAAGCTTATGTAATATTTATTCTAAATCCTTTGTTGTCATTTCATCAGTGTTCATAGCATCTTCACCAGGAATAGATTCCATCTCAAGAAGCCACTTTTTTGCTCATCCGTAAGAAGCAATTCCTTATCTGTTGTATGAGATTGCAGCAATTCAGTCACATCGTCAGGTTCCACTTCTAATTCTAGTTCTCTTGCTATTTCCACATCTGCAGTTACTTCCTTCATTGAAGTCTTGAATCCCTCAGCCACTCATGAGGGTTGGAATCAACTTTTAAACTCCTGTTTTTTTTTTTTTGTTTTGTTTTGTTTTTTTTTTGAGACGGAGTCTCGCTCTGTCACCCAGGCTGGAGTGCAGTGGCCGGATCTCAGCTCACTGCAAGCTCCGCCTCCCGGGGTCACGCCATTCTCCTGCCTCAGCCTCCCGAGTAGCTGGGACTACAGGCGTCCGCCACCTCGCCCGGCTAGTTTTTTTTTTTGTATTTTTTAGTAGAGACGGGGTTTCACCATGTTAACCAGGATGGTCTCGATCTCCTGACCTCGTGATCCGCCCGTCTCGGCCTCCCAAAGTGCTGGGATTACAGGCTTGAGCCACCGCGCCCGGCCTAAACTCCTGTTACTATTGATATTTTGACCTCTTCCTGTGAATCATGAATTTTTGTTTGTTTTTGAGACAAAGTCTCACTCTGTCACCCAAGTTGGAGTGCAGTGGTGCCATTACAGCTCACTGCAACCCAGCCTCAACCTCCCAGGCTCAAGCGATCCTCACACTTCAGCCTCCTGAGCAGCTGGGACTACAGGTGTTAGCCACTACACCCCACTAATTTTTAAATTTTTTTGTAGAGATGGGATCTCGTTTATGTTGCCCAGGCTAGTCTCAAACTCCTGGGCTCCATTGATGTTCCCTCCTCACCCTCCCAAAGTGAATGGTACCCAGCCCATTAATGTTCTTAATGGCATCTAGAATGATACATCATTTCCATGAGGTCTTCCATTTACTTTGCCCAGATGTATCAAAGGAATCACTGTCTATGCAGCTACAACCTTGTAAATGTATTTCTTAAATAATAAGACTTGAAAGTTGAAATTACTGCTTGATCCATGGGCTGTAGAATGGATGTGCTATGGCAGGCATGAAGACACATTAATCTCTTTGTACATCTCCATCAGAGCTCTTGGGTGACCAGGTGCTTTTTAATGAGCTGTAATATTTGTTTGTTTTTTAAGTTTGTTTTTAAACTTTTTTAAATTAAAAAACATAGTTTTGGAGACAGGGTTGTGCTCTGTTGCCCAGATTAGAGTGCAGTGGTGTGATCACAGCTCACTGCAGCCTTCACCTTCTGGCCTCAAGCTATCGTCCCACTTCAGCCTCCTGAATAGCTAGGACTGCAGGCATGCACCACCATGCTCGGCTAATTTTAGAAAGAATTTTCTTTCGTAGAGGTGGGGTCTTGCTATGTTGCCCAAGCTAGTCTTGAACTCCTGGCCTCAAACAGTCCTCCTACCTTGGCCTCCCAAAGTGCTGGCATTACAGGTGTGAGCCACCATGCCCAGCTGCGTGGTAATGTTTTGAAAGGAATCTTTTTTTCTGAGCAATAGGTCTCAACAGTGGGCTTAAAATAGTCAGCAAACCACACTGTAAACAGATCTGCTGTCATCCAGGCTTTGTGTTCCATTTATAGAGCACAGGCATAGTCATTTAGCATAGTTCTTAAGGGCCCTAGGATTTAAAAACCAAGCATTGGCTTCAACTTAAAGTCATCAGCTCCATTCGGCACTCACAAGAGAGTCAGCCAGTCCTTTGACGTTTTGAAGCCAGGCATTGACTTCTCCTCTATAGCTGTGAAAGTCCTAGATGGCATCTTCTTCCAATATAAGACTGTTTCATCTACACTGAAAATTCGTTGTTCATGGTCGCCACCTTCATTAAGTATCTCAGCTAGGTCTCCTGGATAACTTACTGCAGCTTCTACATCAGCACTTGCTGCCCCATCTTGCACTCTCACGTTATGGAGATGGTTTCTTTCCTTGAACCTTATAAACCAACCTCTGCTAGCTTCACACTTTTTTTTTCTGCAGCTTCCTCACCTCTCTCAGCCTTCATTAAATTGAAGAGAGTTAGGTCGTTGCTCTGGATTAGGCTTTGGCTTAAGGGAATGTTGTGGCTGGTTTGATCTTCTATCTAGACCACTCACATTTTCTCCGTATCCGCAATAAGACTGTTTTGCTCCCTTATTATTTGTGTGTTCACTGAAGTAACACTTCTAATTTTCCTCAAGAACTTTTTTTTTTTTTGCATTCTATAAATGTTCAGAGTTCTAAACCTTTAAAAGGTTTCAAATACATGTATAAACACATTCTAGAATGTCAGTCTGACTGTTGCTTCCTTTCACTTCAGTCTCATCTGCTCCTCTGACGTAGCTGGCTCCGTTGGGCTGTACGCCGCCCTGCCCCGCTGAGTGGGGTTTTCAGGACCACTGCCTCTGGGCAGCTCTTCCACTCTGGCTGGGGAGCTTATGTTGTAGAAATTTGTGTTTCTCTCCCTGCCAACCCGGGATAGAGTTTGTTCGAATTTCCCCATGTGAGGCCTTGTGGTAACAGTGCCCGTTTTGAGGAGGCTGGAAGGGAAGGGAAAGTGGAGAGAGATTGGAAAGAAAGTATAAAGAGTCCCCTTTGCTCCAGTTCCCAACAAGTTCCTCATCTCCATCTGAAACCACCTCAGCCTGGACCTTATTGTCTATATCACTATCAGGCTTTTGGTCAAAGCCATTCGACAAGTCTCTAGAAAGTTCCAAGCTTTCCCACATTTTCCTGTCTTCTTCTGAGGCCTCCAAACTGTGCCAAGCTCTGCCTGGTACCCAGTTCCAAAGTCGCTTCCACATTTTTGGGTAACTTTTCAGTAGCACCCCACTCTGCTGGTACTTATTTACTGTATTAGTCTGTTTTCACGCTATTGATAAAGACATACCTGAGACTGGGCAAATAGAGGTTTATAGTGGACTTACAGTTCCATGTGGCTGGGGAAGCCTCACAATCATGGCGGAAGGTGAAAGGCACATCTCACATGACAGCAGACAAAAGAAGAGAGCTTGGGCAGGGAAACTCCCCTCTTAATTTTATTTTTTATTTGTTACTTTTGAGATGGAATCTCGCTCTGTCTCCCAGGCTGGAGTGCAATGGCGTGATCTTGGCTCACTGCAACCTATTCTTCCCAGGTTCAAGCGATTCTCCCTCCCTCACCCTCCTGAGTAGCTGGGATTACAGGCACATGTCACCATGCCTGGCTAATTTTTTGTATTTTTGGTAGAGACGGGGTTTCCTCATGTTGGCCAGGTTGGTCTCAAACTCCTGACCTCAGGTGATCTGCCCTCCTTGGCCTCTCAGAGTGCTGAGATTATAGGCATGAGCCACGGAACCCAGCCCAGCTCCCCTCTTTGAAACCATCAGATCTCATGAGACGCATTCTCTATCAAGAGAACAGCACAGGAAAGACCCACCCCTATAATTCAGTCACCTCCCATGACATATGGGAATTGTGGGAGTTACAATTCAAGGTGAGATTTGGGTGAGGACACAGCCAAACTATATCAGCATGATAAGTACGACAAACCCCAGTGTCACAGGGGAAGCAAATATTGATGAGTCCTTTGCCTGCATCTTTTATAATTTCTGTACTATGCTGAATAGTCCTTGTCTTGTTGACAGACTGTTTTATAGGTACAAGTCTTGTCTTCTCTATTAAAGGGTAAGGCCTGGGACTTGAGGGCTTTGGCCTTTTGTCCTTGTTTTTTGAGACAGAGTCTCACTCCGTCGCCCAGGCTGAAGTGCAGTGACGCGATCTCGGCTCATTGCAACCTCTGCCGCCGGGGTTCAAGCAATTCTCCGGCCTCAGCCTCCTGAGTAGCTGGGATTATAGGCCCCTGCCACCGCGCCCAGCTAATTTTTGTAGTTTTAGTGTAGACGGGGTTTCACCATCTTGGTCAGGCTGGTCTTGAACTCCTGACCTCGTGATCCACTTGCCTCAGCCTCCCAAAGTGCTGGGATTACAGGCATGAGCCACTGCTCCCGGCCGGCCTTTTGTCCTTTTAAAGTCTCTTGGTGGCCTTTGCACTGAGCATGCCTGAGGCATACTGACTGACCTGCAGCTTGATCACCTCATTCTTTTTTCTTCCTACAGCCTCGTGCAAGCCGAATACTGGCATGACCCCATAAAAGAGGATGTATATCGCAACCACAGCATCTTCTTGGCAGATATAAATCAGGAGCGGGTAAGCACCCAAACCCTGTTCCCATAGATGTGCGTTCTTTTTCCTGTTTAGGTCCTCATAAACAAATCAGTGGTGACTACCCAAACTGTCCTGGGCAGATCCTAGGAAACAGAAGTTCTGTTTTTTTGGGAGGCAGTGCCTTTGAGATTCAGTTCCTTTTAGCGAGGTTGAAATTCAATTGCCTTTCTTCCCTTAAGTTCTTTCCCTCTCCCAGTGTTGAAACACACAGGATACGCTCAGTAGGTTGCTGACTGGGCTAGGTGGAAATTCACAGCTGCTGTCTTAATGAGGGAAGCTTTCCTGATGGATCAGTTTGGGGGTGGATTTTTCTCTAGAGATTTACCTAGACGAGGGATACAGTAGGCACTGAGTATGTCCCAGACACAAACATGGTTTGGTAGGTTCTGGTAAACTAGATGGCTCAGTTTCTATTAGACTCATCTGGAGAGTCTTTTGGTTTTTTGTTTTTAAACAGAAAGTTTGAAGGGAAAAACAAACCAAACAAAAAACAACACAGAACCCCCCAGAATTTGCAGAACCACCCAGAATTTGCAGTTTCTTATTTTGTCTTGGCTTTCTCTGACTAGAAGCCTCTCACCTATGTGATGGACACCTATGGAGTGTGGTGTAAATTCATAGTTGTACCTGTATGCCATGGCTGGTGGCATGTCAGTCAGATAGGAAGGCCAGGCGCGGTGTCTTATGCCTGTAATCCTAGCATTTTGGGAGGCCGAGGTGGGCAGATCACTTGAGGTCAGGAGTTTGAGACCAGCCTGGCCGACACAGTAAAACCCCACCTGTACTAAAAATACAAAATTAGCTGGACGTGGTGGCGGCCACCTGTAATCCCAGCTACTCGGGAGGCTGAGGCAGGAGAATTGCTTGAACCTGGGAGGCAGAGGTTGCAGTGAGCTGAGATGGTGCCACTGCACTCCGGCCTGGGCGACAGAGCGAGACTCCATCTCAAAAAAAAAAAAAAAAAAAGGCTGTATAAGCAATCCCATGACTGGGTATATACCCAAAGGAAAACAAATTGTCCTACCAAAAAGACACTTGCACTCATGTTTATTGCAGCACTGTTCACCATAGCAAAGACATGAAACCAACCTAGGTGCCCATCAGCGGTGGACTGGATAAAGAAAATGTGGTACATATACACCATGGAATATTGCACAGTCATAAAAGAGAATGAAATCCTGTTCTTTGCAGCAACGTGGATGCAGCTGGAGGCCATTATCCTAAGCAAATGAACACAGAAACAGAAGACCAAATATCACATGCTCTCACTTATTATTGGGAGCTAAACATTGGGTACACGTGGATATAAAGATGGGAGCAATAGACACTGGAGACTCCAAAAGCTGGGAGGGAGGGGCTAGGGCTGAAAAACTTCCTGTTGGGCACTGTGTTCACTATTTGGGTGAAAGGATCAACAGAACTCCAAACCTCAGCATCACACAATATACCCTTGTAACAAAACTGCACATGTACCCCCCTGAATCTAAAATAAAATAAAGGTTTTTTTTTGTTTTGTGTTTTAGAGGGAAAAAAAAAAAAAAAAAGCTGTACAGGTATATCCTGGGCAGGAAGCTGGAAAACAGCCCATACCCTTGGGGAAGAAACATGGTGGCACAGGGTCAGGGAGATCAGAGAACTGGAAGGTTTTACTCCCCCTGCTGGTATCTGATGGTAATGACCTTAGGTGTTGCTGGCCTTTCTTTCAGGGTATCAATGAGTCCTACAGGAAAAACCTGATGGCCCTGAAGAAGTTTGTGATGGTGAAATTCCTCAATGATTCCATTGTGGACCCTGTAGATTCGGAGGTGAGACACTACTTAGGCCACATGCCAGGAGAGTAAATGGCATTAAAATAGGGCTGCCAGCTGGGCATAGTGGCTCATGCCTGTAATCCCAGCACTCTGGGAGGCCAAGGCAGGCAGATCACCTGACGTCAGGAGTTCAAGACCAGCCTGGCCAACTTGGTGAAACCCCGTCGCTACTCAAAATACACAAAGAAATTAACCAGGCGTGGTGGCAGCCACCTGTAATCCCTGCTGCTTAGGAAGCTGAGGCAGGAGAATCGCTTGAACCCAGGAGGCAGAGCTTGCAGTGAGCCAAGATCGTGCCACTGCACTCCAGCCTGGTTGACAGAGTAAGACTCTGTCTCAAAAAGAAAATAAAATGAAATTAAAATGAAATGAAATGAAAAAATACAGCTGCCTGCTGGGGGAAAAAACCTGCAGTCCCTTCCACCAACTTTTGTATAGAACAGTTCTTCACCTGAAGTCCATAAGCGGGACACTGAAGATTGTAATCTACCCCCCAACCCCAAAATTCTATGCAAAATTATGTAATTGCATTCTCTGGGGAAGGGTCTATAATTTTAATCCATTTTCCAGAGACCAGAGGCCGAAAAAGCGTTCAGAATCAGCAGCCCAAAATATATCAGTTCCTAAGCTTGGCCTCCAAGGTCTGCCTTGATCTGGCTTCACCCTGTTTTCCAGCCTGATCCTCCTTGTCTGCACACTTCATACACTCTTGATCAAGCCATATTGTACTACTTGTGCTTTTTCTCTCGTATACAAACTTTGTTCATGTTTTTCTGTCTCTAGAATGTACTTCCTTGGCTTCTCCACCTGACAGTTCCTATTCGTCTGTCAAGGACAGGATACCATCCCCCTTCCAAGCAGAATGTGATCCCTTTTGTAGATCATCAGCCTGTGTTAGGACACTCCTCACGTTATGTCACACCACCAGGGATTGGCTGATTGTGGCCCACAGGCCCAGTCCATCCTGCTACCTGTTTTGGTGTTCCCCACACGTGAAGAATGGTTTTTACATTTTTTAATGGTTGGGGGAAAGAATTTGACATATAAAGATTATGTAAAATTTATTTAGACATAGAAAGTATTTTGACATATAAAGATTATGTAAAATTTAAATTCAGTGTCCTCATTGGAACAGTTTTACTTTTTACATACTGTCTGTGGCTGCTTTTGTTACAGTGGCAGCAGTGAGTAGTTGCAACCATATGGCCCTTAAAGCCTAAAATATTTTGTATCTGGCCTTTACAAAAACATTTGCTGACCTCTGTGCTCAACAGTGAATTGTTTCTGTGCCTTGCAAGACTGGGAGGTTTTTGGAAACAGATGATAGATTCGTCCTTGAATGTCTAGAGCTCAGCCCAGGAATTTTTCACATTTATTGCTTAATAAATGTAGGAAGCAGAAATTCTGGGGAAGTGGAAAGCAGCCCCTCAGAAAGATTAACTCATCCCTCGGGCTCCACCCTTAAGAAGAGATGACTCAGACGCACCCTACCCATTTTTCCTTCTTGCTACAGCTTTATGATGTTCACTTTGTTGGCAGTTTTGGCTTCTAACCAGTCTCAAATTAGTTTGGCAGTATGTGCTGTGTGTCATATCTGACCTTATTTCTTTTGCTTCTTCTGCAGTGGTTTGGATTTTACAGAAGTGGCCAAGCCAAGGAAACCATTCCCTTACAGGAGACCTCCCTGTACACACAGGTAACTGGCAGGGAATCTATCTTGGGAGGTTGTGCTGTCTTTTTCAGCTCCCAGTTCTTGAAGCTGCTAGATTCTTCGGTGCTGGAGCCCTGCCCTGTACACCTCAGAGCACTAGGTACTCCTGAAACACCTGACTTATGTCCAATATGGGTGAAGCTTGTTAGGCTCTTGATTATTGCTCTAGCTTATCTGGCACTGCGTTACAGAAATTCACTACATCCTGAAACCTTATGGTTTCCAAGCAAGAACAAGAGAAACCTCATGTCTGATTCCCTTTTTTTGATAAAAAGGTTTTAAAACTAGCTGCCTTTGCTGAGGTGCGTCTGCTACAAATCTAGGAAGCCTCCAGGCATGATGAGGGGCATTTTTTTTTTTTTGAGATGGTCTCGCTCTGTCTCCCAGGCTGGAGTACAGTGGAGCAATCTTTGCTCACTGCAACCTCTGCCTCCCGGGTTCAAGCAGTTCTCCTGCCTCAGCCCCCTTAGTAGCTGGGATTACAGGTGTGTGCCACCATGCCCGGCTAATTTTTGTATTTTTAGGAGAGATGGGGTTTCGCCATGTTGGCCAGGCTGGTCTCGAACTCCTGACCTCAGGTGATCCACCCATCTCGGCCTCCCAAAGTGCTGGGATTACAGGTGTGAGCCACTGTGCCTGGCCAAGAAACATTACTTTTAAACATTAACAGATGTGAAATCCTGTTTCTAAATTACACACTGCAAGGGAAGCTCCTGCAGGAGACTGATTGGGACTAGCGTTGTGAATTTTGTTTAGCAGTAGGTCCTGTATCTTAAGCAGAAGTTGCAGTAATTTACCACTCCAGTTCTGGGGCCTTCTACACTTTAAGGATTTTTTCTTTTTTGAGACAGAGTCTTGCTTTGTCACCTAGGCTGGAGTGCAATGGTGTGGTCTCAGCTGACTGCAACCTCCACTTCCTGGGTTCAAGCGATTCTCCTGCCTCAGCCTCACTAGTAGCTGGGATTACAGGCACACGCCACCATGCCTAATATTTTGTTTTTTTAGTAGAGACAGGGTTTCACCATGTTGGCCAGGCTGGTCTTGAACTCCTTACCTCAGGTGATCCACCTGCCTCAGCCTCCAAGAGTGTTGGGATTACAAGCGTGAGCCACCATGCCCAGCCCTAAGGATTTTATATTGGAGACAGACTCTCCAAAATGCATAAGTACTACACCTGAACCAGTCACCTTCTACTAGAATTCCTCCATGTTATTTCAGAGGTCATTTGTCTCCTCTTGGCTTTTCTTTTGCATTGGGTGCCTCAACTTCAGTGGTGAGGTAAAAAGGGAAGCTAGAGTCTGATTTTAAAAAAAAAAAAGGCTTGAGAAATTACAGCTAAGAACTTCCCTATTGTGAAACTCAAAATAATGGTGGCCATGGCAGAAGCACCATTCTGGCACTGTCGTAGCTGCTTATCTTCCCAACCAGGGGTTGTTCTCCAGCACCTAGGCTATGGGTAATGACATTTTCAACTCCAGAATATGGAAGTGTCCAGGGTTTGTTACCTAAGGCTTGCATATGGTTTTTTTGTTTTGTTTTTTGAGATGAAGTTTTGCTCTTATTGCCCAGGCTGTAGTGCAATGGCGTGATCTCAGCTCACTGCAACCTCCACTTCCCGGGTTCAAGCAAATTCTCCTGTCTCAGCCTCCCAAGTAGCTGGGATTACAGGTGCCCGCCACCATGCCCAGCTAATTTTTGTATTTTTATTAGAGATGAAGTTTTATCATATTGGTCAGGCTGGTCTTGAACTCCTGACCGCAGGTGATCCGCCTGCCTTGGCCACCCAAAGTGCTGGTATTACAGGCCTGAGCCACCGCGCCTGGCCTGGGTTGGATGTTTTTTAAGTTACCTAGCTAATGTTCTCCTGTCTTTGGCTCAGTCCCACTTACCTATGGCATGCTGAGGCAGTGTTGTCCATGGCTTGCCCACCTATAGGTAGTCCTCTGACTCTGAGAAGTTTTTCAAAAAGCAGAATCTAGAACTCTATATAGTGCAATCTCAATTGCATATACATTTTTAATACTTAGAAAAAACTGGCCGGGTGTGGTGGCTCACGCCTGTAATCCCAGCACTTTGGGAGGCCGAGGCGGGTTGATCATCTGAGGTCAGGAGATCGAGACCATCCTAACACGGTGAAACCCCATCTCTACTAAAAATACAAGAAATTACCTGGGCGTGGTGGCACACGCCTGTAATTCCAGCTACTCGTGAGGCGGAGGCAGGAGAATCGCTTGAACCCGGAAAGTGGAGGTTGCAGTAAGCCAAGATTGTGCCACTGCACTCCAGCCTGGGTGACAGAGCAAGACTCCATCTCAAAAAAAAAAAAAGAAAAAAAAAAAAAAGAAAGAAAAAAAAACTAGGAGATATTCTTTTTGGCATTTTTGAAAATATACCTCAATTTTATTTTGACAATATATCTCGAGTTAACATATTTACCATTTTACTCCAAAACTTCATTAAGCTTTTTGATTAATTATGGCTTTCCCTCTGCAGGACCGCCTGGGGCTAAAAGAAATGGACAATGCAGGACAGCTAGTGTTTCTGGCTACAGAAGGGGACCATCTTCAGTTGTCTGAAGAATGGTTTTATGCCCACATTATACCATTCCTTGGATGAAACCCGTACAGTTCACAATAGAGCTCAGGGAGCCCCTAACTCTTCCAAACCACATGGGAGACAGTTTCCTTCATGCCAAGCCTGAGCTCAGATCCAGCTTGCAACTAATCCTTCTATCCTTATCTAACATGCCCTACTTGGAAAGATCTAAGATCTGAAGCTTATCCTTTGCCATCTTCTGTTACCATATGGTGTTGAATGCAAGTTTAATTACCATGGCGATTGTTTTATAAACTTTTGATGTGGTCACGCTCAGTTTTAGAAAGGGAGTCTGTTCCAGATCAGTGCCAGAACTGTGCCCAGGCCCAAAGGAGACAACTAATTAAAGCAATGAGATAGATTCTGAGGGCAAACGTTTTTCCAAGATCTTGCCAGATTTCAAGCAAAGAGGTACCCAGGCCTGAGGTACTCACATAAATGCTTTGTTTTGCTGGTGATTTAACCAGTGCTTGGAAAAATCTTGCTTGGCTATTTCTGCATTTCTTAAGGCTGCCTTCCTCTCTGAATACGTTACCCTCTGTGCTATCATCTTATTATTAGGCAAATCCCACTGGCCTAGTCTTGCTTCTGTGGCACCCACTTTGTCTCCTCAGGTAGTGATGAATTAGTTGCTCTGTCACAAAAGGAGGGAAGTAGCATCCAATTAAGTTGCTTAAGAGAGGAAATGTACATCTTGTATAACTTAGGGAGTGAAGAAAATGTAGGCACGAAAGTGAAAAGTGAGGCAGCTAGTTCTTCCTATTCCATTCTTGACCAACCTGCCCTTTCTTAATATGACTAGTGGTCTTGATGCTAGAGTCAACTTACTCTGTTGCTGGCTTTAGCAGAGAATAGGAGGAACCATATGAAAAGATCAGCCTTTCTGACTTCAATCCCCAAAACATATTTACCAGCATACTCCAAACTGTTTCTGATGGGTTCTGTGAGAAAAGGATTGTTTGCTCAAAAAGCTTGGAAAATACTACACACTCCCTTTCTCCTTCTGGAGATCACCCACATTAGAGGGTCTGAGGACTCTGAGAATTCGTGTTACAGTAAACAAAACTAACAATCTCCCATTTCCTACACTACTTGAGCATGGAAATCATAGTCCCCACTCTGTGAAAACTTAACGCTTTTTGGAAGACATTTCTGTAGAATGTCAGTTTGGAGAAATGATGAGCTACGCCTTGATGAAAGAACCATGTTGGTGCTGCTAAGTTTACCCATTATGGTTTTTCCTTTCTCTCTCTCAAGCCTTATTCTTCAACTAAAAGATGAGGATTAAGAGCAAGAAGTGGGGGGGATGTGAAAATAATTTTATGAGGTTGTCTAAAATAAAGAGTAGTTTCTTATGCTTGGTGTTTTCAGTATTTTTTACATTCCTGTACAGCAAGTATCACAGGTAAACAACTAAGCAAGTTTGGTATTAACTTTATTCTATTTTCTGTATAACTTTAAGTACATAAAGGTTTATTTCCACAGGCCTCAGGAAATGGGTAGAAATCACAGGACAATCTCTCTTCCCACCAAAAAAAAGTTGCATATTTTGGTAAGTGTTTGTCCTAGAGGGGAAAAACTGAAATTTACATTAGCAGTGCTGTGCAAGATTCTTACATAAATCAAGACCTAAAACCAGCCTGCAGTGGAGGTTTTAGTCCTCTGTTCAGGTGCTTGGACAGAAGCCATAAGCTGATGAGCATGACAGGGAAAAGCAGGCAGTGAAGACAGGTGACAGGCACCTAGCAGGGAAGGAGGATTCAGGAATGCCAGACTCCTTGAAATGGTGTGTTGTTTTTCCTTTTTTTTTTTCCTTTTAAAGTCATCACTATAGGAAGGCGCTAGTCAGGGATCCCAGAGAAAGAAAGGGTTCAAGACTCCATTAACTGCCCTGGATAGCAGCTAGTACCGGAGACTCTCCTATCTCATGGTTGAGGCAGACCCAGGATAGAACAGAGAATAAAAGGAATGCTTATGGGAAACCATTCTGCATGGAATGCTAGATGGCCAAGCCTCAGCCTTCGGTCCAGTGCAACCCTTGCCTCACTTGTCAACAGTGAAAATTAGTTTGGTTAGAAGAACCATCTGGAAACACACCAGCTTCTGCTACCTTCATGCTCACTGTTAGAAAAAGATTAACCAGTGTGAACATTCTGACCTGTTAATTCCTGGGACTGTTTTCTTTCCAATGGACTGTTTGTTTGTTGGTAGAATAACCCCCAAAAGCTCAAAGCTAAAATGCATCATCAGTCCTAGTCGGCAGTTCCTTAAGAATGGACTGGCGGCGTGGTTGAGCTGATATGGAAAAGCTGCACCTTCCTGCAGAAGATCAACTGACCTGCTATCCCACCCCAAATTTCAGCCTGAGGTATATTTCAGTGAAGGCAGGTAGCTGTGCTTCTCAGAGCAGAGAAGCAGTTTTAAGAGCAGAAAGGTAGAGGAAATCTAGAAAAGAACCGTCTTGATACAGATTTATCCCATGGTGTGAAGGGAGGGCAAAGAACCCAGTGGCACTTCGCTTATCCAGCAATTTCTGTCACTGTGGTGACCAATTTTTGCCCATTCCAGAGGGTCTTGAACTGCTCAGGAACTGGGAATTCATTCTGCAAATAAAGAAGAGACAGCAGGTTTAAATCTGAGCTAAAGAAGAGCTGGGGCTAAATCTCACACATTTCTCCCAATGCTTGCTTCCACTTAACCCCAGGAGCACGGGAGGATGTAGCAAGAGACAAATCATAGAGCCATGCTGGGTTCTAGTGTTCAGCGATCTTGGACAGACAATAGTCTATGGGGTGTAAATAACAGTACATATGGCTTTATAGCACCAGCTTGACAAGGTGCCATGGCTCATCCCCATTCTTTTTTGCTACCTTGAGCTCCATTTAGGCAGAAAGCACCTTCCTTTGGAGCTCCACTACACTGGACTACCTCATTTCTGTGTGTTTTTGGTGTGCATTATTGGGTTTTTAGCTGCTCAGTGCAGAATGTTCATGAAACAGCTTTCTCCAATGCAAGAAATCTTCAGTCCCTTCTGTTTTTAACATCATACTAAAGAGATCAAGAAACTTACAAAGTCACCGCCTTCTGTAGGAATGAGGACATTCATCTCGGAAGATTTGGCACTGACTATTTCACAATCCAGGGAATTCTTGCTCAGGTAAGCATGGCAGCCATCTGTTTTGTTGATGGATATGGTTGGCACTTTACCCATTACCTGCAGAGTAAACCAAGAGAACTGAGTCCCAGCAGTTGGGGAGGACAAGAGTAAGTTGCAGGAAAAGCTTTCCTGTTTCACGTGACTCAGCAACTACATGAAAAGCTCACAGGTGCGCAAGACACTGGATACTTGGGTGGGTTGGGATGGGTCCTGAAAAGAACTCGCCTGAAGAGCCAACCCCTCTTCTGCCACGTCCAAAGCATCTCAGCTTACAGACTTTGTAGAATCAGATTCCCACGAAAGCAACATCTGTGGGTCTACCATGTCTCTTTCAATTAATTCCTCAGGGACAAAAAGAAGGAGCCAAAATATCGAGTTACCTGAACTTTGACATCCCTACTGTTGATTATCTCCACAATGCCCACCACGTCATCGAATACCAGACCAAGTTTCTTACAGTTATCTAGGAGAAGAAAGGGAGTTTGTCAACAGTATAACTTTAAAGGAAAGTAATATACATTTAGGAATCTTTAAGATAGGGTAGGTAAAATGATATTAGCCTTCTCGGGCTCTGGGACGGGGCTTGCATGGGACAGCGACAAAGACTCACCTACTGTAATGGAGTTAATTTTGCCCTTGATTTGCAATGTCGTGTTGACACACTTGTATATGTAAGCCACCTGTTTCAGCTCTGTGTCATCAATCACCAGGTTGGAAACATTTTCCTGATTTTCCTATTAGAGAGAGAGCCCAGGATTCTCATCATAAAGCACACACCAAACAAAAAAAACCCCGGCTATCCCAAACTTTTTGTTATTGCAATTGAAGCCAGAACTCTGCCCTCATCTAGCTAAGCTCCATTTAACCCCGTCCCTACTCCTTTTCCCCAGGAGGCGGAGGTTGCAGTGAGCCAAAATCGCGCCACTGCACTCCAGCCTGGGCGACAAAGTGAGACTCCATCTCAAAAAAATGTAATAAAAATACCTGCCCCTGTCTAGGTATTTTTAACTTACCACTCTCCATTTCTTGCCCTCCAGTTCAAGTACAGCTGGCTCCTTCTTTGTGGCTGGTTTGGGGGACGGGCTGGTTTGGGGTTTAGGTGCAGAGAATGGCTTAACCACAAACAACAGCACACCTAGATCAGACCTTCTTCTGATATCAGATACTCTTCAGGGCTGTAAGACAACAGCCTGCCTTGTTCCTGTCTTCATACCAGACCTCTGCAGCTGCTATCATCACGTACATCCTTACAGATTCAAAGCCAAAACCAGGAGCTTGAGGTGTTTTCTTGCAGCAGTTTTGAGAAGTACTTTATCATTCCTCCAGTAATCAGTCCATAAAATAACAGACATGAATTGTATACACTTATGGCAATAAGTAATGCCAGAAAAAGAAGGCCTAAAAGACATATCAAATATATATGCACAAAATATGTAGTTTTAAAGCAATAAAGGAAGAAAAATAAGGTGCAGTATAAAGAATTCTGGTAAAAGAAAAAACAAAACAAGACAAACAAAACCTGCACTCCCACAGCTAACTCAACCCTACTTTCCCCTACCTCCTTCCAGTCTAGTGTGGCATTTGCGACTCTACAGAAGTTTCTCTCTCTCTCTATATATATATTATGGTTTTGTTGGTATGATCATACACGTTGTTAATACATTTAGTTCAACTATTGACACTTAAAAACTTTCTCAATGTTAACCTGCTAGTTGTAGTATCTTTCTAGGCCCAGGCGCTGTGGCTCATGACCTTGTAATCCCAGCTCGCTTGGGCAGGCCAAGGCGGGTGGATCACCTGAATGTTAGGAGTTGGAGACCAGGCTGGCTTAACATGGTGTGTATTTTTAGTCTCTACTAAAAGGTACACAAAAAATTAGTTGGATATCGGTGGCAGGTGCCTGTATCCCAGCTCTTAGGAGCTGAGGCAGGAGAACTGCTTGAACCCTGAGAGGCAGAGGTTGCAGTGAGTCCGAGATTCACATCACTGCACTCCAGCCTGGGCAAAAAAAGGAGACTCCGTCTCAAAAAAATTAAAATAAAAGTAAAAAATGAAAGTTAAAAATATATTTCTTTTATGTTTAAGGGAAAAAATAATTCATGAATCTCCCACAGCTAGGGCCTGGACAACACTTTGCTTTGAACATTGGCCTGGATCTACTGTTAACTGTATTAACAAATACTGAATCGGCCTTTATGCTCCCACTATTCCTCGTGGTTGGTAACTTCACATACTGAGATTTCTTTCTTCTTAAACATATACGTGGTCAACTGTAGAAAAACAGTGTAAATGATGGCATAACATTTCATCAACAGGACATGTGGGTAGTTAACTACACTTTCTCGTTACTGTTGGATTTAGCGTGTGTTACAGCCAATTACTTTAGGCTACTATGATTCCTAGAAGTGGCTGGACAACTCAGACTTCCAGCTGTGTTAAGGGTATCTACTTTCTCTATACTAACCATTAGGTCACTCTCATGCAAATTTTCCATGTAACCAGTAATGCATCTTCTAAGGAAGTTAACTCCTAACACAGTGCCTTCCCAGGAGGCCATGTGGTGCTTACGGAAAAAGCTCTGGGGAAACGCCAGAGCTCTGTGCCTTGGCACAAGAGGGTACTCTATATATGCTACCTAATATTAGTCACTTTCCCATGGGGCAGAGGGCTTCCTCCAACTGTGATCATCATTTTCAATTTCCATTTAAGCCAGCTTTGCTGTCCCTTAAAGGAACAGGACACACTAAATGACTCCCACACAAGTCGGGTTGTGGTTTACAGACTAGTTGTTGGGTTCTGGTTGGGGGGGTCTGGCCCACACAACTTGTTGTACCGGACTGTTTGTGTCAAAGTGTTCACTCACCATGTGTCGAATGCGCGCGCGACGCCGATTAATTTGCGCAAACAGTGCTGAGCGGGAAGCGGACTCATCTGAGCCTGAACTGGTAGAGACTGGGGGAGGAGGGGGGCCTGGTGGAGGGGGAGGAGGACCTGATCCAGCAGAGGGTCCAGATGGCAGTCCACTCAGTTCTTTTGCCACAGGCCCCTGAAACAATAAGAGAAGGTAACATCGTCATCCTCTCTCTTCCCCACTGTACCATTCCCAGTAGCACCCTACATGTGGCCACTGCACATGGGATCCCCACTACAGCCTTTGAGGCAATGATTAATGCGTCCTACCCATACCCAACTTGGCTTTATGCCTTCTCACCCTTTCCCGAAGATCCAGCTCTCAGTTCTATTTCTTGACCATCACATTTTGCCTTTGACCTCACCTGATTCCAGCTTTAAAAACTCTTTCCACAAATCTATTTGACATCTTCCTTAGTGTGTTACCAGTACCTCAGATTCAACAAGTTCAAAACTGATTTCATCATTTCCTGCCTGCTCCCCTCCCTGTATAATCATCCCCTTGTCCCTGTTTCAGTGAAAGATGTTACCATCCAAGGCTGACTATTCAATCTTCTTTGAGGATTCCAACTTCTTCAACCTTATCAAATCTCTTTCTATTATCTTGGTGCTATCTCCTGCAAATGTTTTTCTACTATCTCCCAAACACCATGACTACTTTCATAATCCGAGCATGAGTCCTTATCCCTAACCTATACACTGAGACTCTTTTAAAGACAAATTGGATCATTATCACTCCCTTGCTCAAATACCTCATCCCAAAGTCTCAGCCTACCTTCCTTTCCAGCCTTTTCTCCTAAAAATCTGACCATTTCCCCTTATTGAAGCCAGAGATGACCAATCTCTACATTTACTCTGCATTTATTTTGTTTAAGCTGTGCCTTTTGTAGTATCCCACTTCTCACTGCCCTATACTTCTTTCAAGTCTCACAGAAGAGTATATACCTTCAAAGCATAATCTCTTCTAGTGAGAAGCACTCTTCTTTTCCTCATACTCTAGAGTCTGTATCTTTATTATAGCATTTGGCTTAGTGATTTGTACTATTGTACTGGGGTTTTGCGTTCCTATTTTTAAGCGCCTTAAAGGCTGGGACAGTGTAACTCATTTGTGTGTGTCTCCCACTCCAGCACCAATCACTGTCCCTGACATGTTTATTGAAATTGAATACCACCAAGTATTCCTTCTCCTATGATCCTTGCTTCCTTTACTCTTTTTTCCCTTTCTTTCTCCCCCTTTTCTTCCTCCCTTCCACTGAAAAAACTAGCATTCCCTCACAGACTTTGGTAGTGCTGAAGTCTAAGAAACCTGTGGACCCCACGCTGGAGAGAGAAAGTGGGAGGGAGGGAGGGAGGGAGGGAGGGAGGAAGGATTCACTAACCGTTTTGCTCCAGGCCAGTCCGGTGGTATGGAACTCCTTAATGTAAGCCTGCAGCTCTGTCCATATACTTAAATAAGCTTTGACCCAGTCTACATGCTTCTTATCCCTGGGAGGATTAAAGAAGAACTTGTCACAGGTGGTCCAGGTACATAACAATGGTGATTCCAGAACCCTTCTTTCCTATGGGCTCACATTCTCCTACCTGTGGTGTTTCTTAGGCTCTGCTTCAATGGCTGCTTTTCTGTCATCACCAAACTTCTATGTATACACAACCTAGTCTATTACCCTAATCAGACCAAACTCCACTAAGATAGAGACTCTGGATTCTATCTCTATCTCTCATAGCAATGTTTCTCAAACTGTTTTAAGTACCAAAACTTCTTTTCTTTTGACCATTTGCTTATTGAAACTTTTTCCAAAGTAGAACCTAAACACAATCTAATATGTAAAACTGATAAAAGAAGACAAGCAGACATTCTGTACATAAAACCATGGTAGAGAGGAGAGCTCTTAAGTATCACTGTGGAACTCTAAGAAACTTAACTGCCTTACGAGACAATGCCTCATGTCAAAATATGCCCACCCCCACCAAAAGCAAACTTAAACTTTCCTTCAGGAGGAAACAATCAGCATTAAATTATAGAAATAGCATTGTACCTATGGTCCAAGTCCCCTCTCTTCTTGTATATTAGCTGGGAAGGTTATTTAGCCTGAGACTTAGTTTCCTCAACTGTAAAGTGATGGGATAATGGTGGGATATATCAAAACACTGTCATGCTTAATTCCATGTTGCTAGAAGGATAAAGAAGTGCCTGTTGTTCTGGGACACATTTGACTCACAGGAAGGTGCAGTATTCCTTAAAAAGAGTAGTTAATGTTTGTTGGTTGATGAAGGATGGAAGAAAGGAAGGGTTTGCGTAGACATGCAACTTAATAAATTTTTGCCTGCAATCATTCCAGTTCAAAACCAGCAATGGAGAAGTCAGAACTGGTAGACGTATGTGGTTAGACATACAAGGACTGCCTTACGTAATACCTGCATTGGCTAGGCAGCCTTACTCTCACTTTAACTGACTGCATGAAGAATTTCTATTAAGTCCTATTGAACCCTTTGCCATTGGGCCAGATAACAAATTCTCAACAAAGAAACAAAATCTTATATAAAGGGCATTAGTCCATGTTACTGTCAGCAAAACTTTCTAAACCGAGAAGGCTAAAAGGGCCTCTACCAACAAAGGAGAGAAAGCAGAAGTGGAAGCAGAAACATTTCCTGTTTGCAAATGCAGCTGTGAGACAATATCTATAAAGCTCTCCAGAAAGCAGCCCTGAGATAAAACCAGCACAGTGGCTAAGCGCAGCCTTCAGTAACTCCAAAGTGCTACTCCAGCAAGTAACCAAATGGGTTTATCCTTTACCCCTTGAAAAAAGGCTGAACTTGGCTGGGCACAGTGGCTCATATCTGTAACCCCAGCATTTTCGGAGGCCAAGGCAGGAGAATCATTAGAGACCTGCCTGGGAAACAGTGAGATCTCATCTCTACGAAAAAATTAAAAAATTAGCCAGGCATGGTGCAGCATGCCTGAAGTCCCAGCTACTTGGGGGACTGAGGTGGGAGGACTGTTTGAGCTGGGAGGTTGAGGCTGCAGTGAGCTGTGATTGTGCCACTGTACTTCAGCCTGGGTGACAACACGAGACACTGTCTCAGAAAAGAAAAAAAGAAAGAAAGAAAAGAAAAGGCTGAACTTACACATCTTTGTACTCTTTGAGGACTCGGTTTGTATAAAACATGGCAGCATCATTCATTTCTTTCACATAAGGGCCAGGCTTGGGAGCCTAGAGAGAAACAAGCTGTCAGTGACTCAGGACCTCTCCAACTATATTGCCTTGCCTCTTAGAATCTATACCCACACCCCCAGCCCTGGAATCTGCACTGCTCACCATAGCCACCCAGCCCAGGGCCTGGATACTTTCGCTGACAGCTGACAGGTGATTAAACAACTTGCTGCCTCGGTTCTTCTCCCGAAAGGTTATCACTTCTTTGATCTGCTCTGAGATGGGTGCCAACAAATCGGAAAGCTTATTCTAGGAAAAGATACAAGAAAAGATTCAGGTTAACATCTTTCCACAAAGGTGTCTATGCCTTCTGATCCTGAAGGTAAGAATTCTCTATGGACTCTAGTGAGTACCCAAATAAACTGCATTAGTCCTGTCCTGATTCCTAAGGCTAAAATACTGCTCATCATCTCACTCTCCTCATAGAGTTCCAACTCCTCAGGCTGTACCTGATGGTTCTTCATGATCAGGATCCATACTTCAGCTATACCACAATACCTCCATTTCAGCCACTTGTCTCTTTTCTGTTCCACTTAGAGGACATACACTCAGGACATCATTCCTGTGCCTTACTCATGATGTTCTCTTCTTTTTCCATGAATCCACATTTTCCTCATGCTTCATGAGGGCCCTCCAACCCAGCCACACCAGCCTCCTACAGCATTTGTTGTCAGAATAACCAATTTTGGCATTTTATCACTCACCAATAAAAACTATTAATGGACCCATGTGAATATGTTTTACTTGCTCATTAATTCTTCAAAGATGAGCTCTTTTATCATCATTAAAGCCCTCAATGCATTGCTAGTCATGTAGTAGCTGCTGAGTAAAGAACTGATGAATCAAATGCAATTAGGAGGCTTAGTCTGGGCATGGTGGCTCACGCCTGTAATCTCAGCACTTTGGGAGGCTAAGGCAGGAGAGATGCTTGAGACGAGGAGTTCGAGACCAAACTGGACAACACAGCACGACTTTGTCTCTACAAATAATAGAAAGAATTAGGGCCAGGCATGGTGGTTCACGCCTGTAATCCCAGCACTTTGGGAGGCCAAGGTAGACAGATCGCTTGAGTCCAGGAGTTCAAGATCAGCCTGGGCAACATGGCGAAACCCCATCTCTATAAAAATACAAAAATCAGCTGGGCATGGTGGCACATGCCTGTAGTCCCAGCTATTCAGGAGGCTAAGGTGGGAGAATCATTTGAGCCTGGGAGGTGGAGGTTTCAGTGAGCCGAGATCCTGCCACTGCACTCCAGCCTGGGCAACAGAGTAAGATTTCATCTCAAAAATAAATAAATAAATAAATAAATAAGCAAGCCAGGCGTGGTGGCACACACTGTAGTCAAGGCTACTCAGGAGGCTGAGGTGGGAGGATCATTTATGCCTGGGAGGTCAAGGCTTCAGTGAGCTGTGATTGCACTACTGCACTCCAGTCTGGGTGACAAAACAACACCCTGTCTCAAAAAACAGATTTAAAAAAAAAAAAATAAAATAAAAAACAATTAGGGGCTTAGCATTCAAGTAGGCACCTTGGCAAAATGGATGAATTTTGTTTGTTTGCACCCTTCCTCCAAAGCTCCATTTCCTGAACATCTCAATTCTCAGATCTTAACCATTCAGGACAGATTAAGAATTAGAATCTAATTCGACAGATTAGAATTAGATGGTATCTATATATACATACACACACATTGTTTTTTGAGAGAAGGTCCTGCTCTGTCGCCCAGGCTGGAGTGCAATGGTGTGTTCAGGGCTCACTGCAACCTCAAACTTTCAGTCCCAAATGTTCCTCCCATTTCAGCCTCTCAAGTAGGTGGGACTATAGGCATGTACCACCTTGCCTGGCTACTTTTTTTTTTTTTTTTTTTTAATTTTTAGTAGAGACAAGGTCTTGCTAAAGTGCTGGGATTACAGAAGTAAGCCAGTATGCTTAACCAGAATCTAATATATATGACATTATTTTTATATTATCTAGGCATGCTGAGAGTCAAGGGTTTTAATACAGCATTTAGGACAACTTGCTTTATTATTCCTCTGTAGGAAAGCCAAATGCAAAAGAAGGAAACTTATTTTCTTTGACTCCAAGAGAAATCTAAATTTTCTCTAATTCAGCTTTTCACATCTTGCACCATAAAATTCTGAGGTGGGAGTAAAATTAAAGGGAGATTCTCCCAACCAGTGAAGGATGAAGAGAGAAGCAATACTACAGGAGTTTTAAGATCTCCACAGGAGCACTACTAAAGCCCATCCACAGTGAAGCAAAAGAATCATCTTTAAAGGGCTTTGGAGACACTATGATGAATGTGGACTCAGCAAAGAGGGAGGCAAGCAAAGTCCACGGGCCTATGCAAAATGACAGAGAAAAAGTCAGTAGAGACCATTAAGTACTCAATAGTACCTTCCCATTAAGGCACTTGAAGTATGGCTCTACCTCTGGGACTTGGTATGAATATATATTATCAAAAGCCTAGTAGGTCTATTTTAAAATGTTATAATAGCTTGACAGAAATCTCTCAACTCGTCCTGAGCATCAAACCAAAATGAAACCAGCTAGTAGTGAACTTACATCTGCTGGCTGTTGACACTGAGAAGCTGTAACCAACAGAGCTCGCTCCAACTTCAAACCTGTGTGGACCATCTCCGCCTGCCAGAAAGAAGAATCAGCTATTGATGACACATTATAACTGGAGAAGTCTTGATAAGAATAACCTGAAACCTCTACTTCCATGTACTCTGATAGCAACCCAGGCACTTCATGTTATCCTCCTCATGTATTCCGGATTCCAGGGACTGATAGCAGAATTACATATACTACTGTTCCTACTGGAACTCATCAGGGACACATATCCAGAGTTGGAAGTGAAGTTAAATGGATAATCACCTAGCCTTAAATGAAGTCATGTTAGCACCTTACACATGCATTGTGATACTGTGCACTGAAAAATCCTTCCTATTTCACATCAGCAAAATAAAACAAACGGCAACCAAAAAAACACCTGTCTTTTCTCAAAAATTGGAGACAGGAGTAAAGGCAAAGGCCTAAATTTATGCCAAAAATTCTCAAGGTATTTACTCCTTTAGGTTAAAGCTATCTCTCAAATGCTAGATACCATGACCCATTAATAAATAAATAAATAAATTTAGTGAGCTGACTACAGCAAAAGTATGAGTGCAGCACACCAACTTCAAGTTATTTCCAAATAAAAAGTTAAAAAAAAAAAAAGTATAGCAGAAGTAGTACAAATATCATTTTGTGAAACTTTTATCTCAGTTACGAATATGTTCTTTATTTCTAAGGGTCATTCGTAGTCAAAAGAATTTAAGAAACATGAGACTATAAGCACTATTAAAATACAAAAATTCAAAGAAAGCAATATATTTTTTTCTGGATTTGCATTTTTAAAACACAAATGATAAATGTTTTAAAGTTTTTTCAAATGTTACAGAACTGTATAAAGTAAAAATGCAAGCCTCCACACCCTTATTAAAGTCCCAGTCCCACTCTCTAGAGCCAAAACCATTGGCAACAGATGGTATTTGAGAGGCTCAAAATAGATTTTCCAAAACCCAAGCAACCAGTCTTGGAGAAAGGTTTAGGTGAAGAAGATCCCGAGCATGGTTACTGTTTATAAAGGATCATTCGGTGAGCTAGCAGGAAGGTTTTTTGGGTCCCAAAAATAGAGGTAGAATGTATATGTGAGTGTGGGGTGGGAGTAGGCAGTGGTGGTGATGACATAGGAGGCATAAAGGAAGGTGGGAGGAAAGGCACCTGTCACTGCCTACTTCATATTCTTGCTGTGGGTTAAGTGTGAAAATAACCCACATTAGCATAACTAATAACTATCAAGCATAGTTTTATAAATGCTAAGTCATGATAATGACTCCTTTAAATAAGCCACTGTAAGTCTGATTATATAATATGTTGGGATCAAACGAGTGCATGTTCTTCGCTACAAAGATGAACAGAACCGTATTTTATGTACCAAGCAAGCTTTCTGTACAAATATGTGATAAAAGCAAGGGGCCTAGAAACATAGGAGGAATCGTTTCTGTGGCTGGACTGAACTCCTCAGTACAGGTAAAAGAAAAATAACATGTGTAATGCCTCAAACCAAGAGGCACTTCTCAAGGAGCTCTTAAACCAAGGATGAGGACCTTGGCTGACTGAAGAAAGCTGTCAGTCCTTAAAAGAAGGGGAAAAAGGCAAAACATCCTTACATGTTTCTGCACGTCTCCCCCAATCTCTTTACTGATCTTCAAGTACTCTGCCACAGGACCAGCAAGCAGTGAGTCAAATGCCTGCACATACGGAGCTGCTCCTGCTAAAGACAAACACACCACGAAGAATCAGCCATGCATCAGAAGGAGGCTTCTTTAAAATGTGCTTCTATATGGAAGTGAGGAGGCAAGGTAATACAGTCAACAGGATACTGGAACAGGAGTAAGGAAACCTGGGTTCTAGGTTCAGTATCACCACTAACTGGTGTGTGACCTTGACTAAATCCCTTTTCCTCTCTGAGCTTAATTTTCTTTATCTATAAAATGAAAATAAACAAAATGATCCTCCAAGGTTTCTTTTAGTGCTAACATTCTATGTTTCAATTGCTGCATGTGCAAAATGTCCAATTTGCCAAATGTTTGGAGACAGGAATTTTATTATCACTTGTCATTTGACTTATATTGGAGTCATTCTGCTAAAGAAAGAACAGGAAATATCACACAAGCAGGAAGTTCTTGTGTTAAAATAACTTAACCACAGGCCTCCCTGTACAAGTCATTTCCTTTCCTCTCTTATCTGTTCACAGCAATACAAATTACAAAAGATAAACTATCTAGATTAAGTTTTGGGAAGTTAGCTCCAAAGGAGAGAATAATAGAAAATTTTCAGGCCAAGACACTCAAAGAAAGCATTCTGCTGGGCTGTGGACTGCTTACCTTTTGAAGGACTGTCTCCATACCCACGGTGCATGTCAGAGGTATGGGACACTGCCTCCAGGCGGCCCACTGCCCTCTCCAATCTTTCTACCAGATTTTGCATGTCAGCCATAATGGACCACCTGCTGAAACAGATCAAATGTCATTTGTTATTTAAATATTAAATAGCACCTACAGAGAGAAAAACAGAAAATTACTGGTCACCCCCAGGTGGATGAAGAGGATGCCAGTTCTCAGGAACAGAATAGTTTAATAAAATTAAGATGTCATCTGCAAAATGGAACAATACAAAAAATCAGATAAAAAAAGTAGTCTAGTATATTTACAAAATCAAAAGACCTCAGTAAGCAAGAGAACTGCTCAGGAAAAGGTGTTCACTGAAGTAAATGCTTACTCATTCAAATACTTACTCAATATTTACTATGATACTGTGTGTGGAAAGTTAGAATTTGCAAAGGATAGTCATATATATTATCTCAGTTTGAGCCTCCCGACAACTACTCAGGAACAGAAGGATAATTACTACATGCTTAGTGATAGAAAACTTAGTTTCAGTGAAGTTAAATGACTTGCCTAGTCACACAGCCAGTGAATAGAGAAGCCAGTACTCAATTCATCTTCTGGCTCTAAGTTCAGTGTGTTTTTTCCCACAACATCCTCTGCCTGAATGTGAAATATCCCAAACCAAGATGAACAGGATATTTACTCTTCCCTCAATAATTTTTTTTTTTCAGACAAAGTCTCGTTCTGTCACCCAGGCTGGAGTGCAGTGGCAGGATCTCAGCTCACTGCAAGCTCCGCCCCCCCGGGTTCAAGGGATTCTCCTGCCTCAGTCTCCCAAGTAGCTGGGGTTATAGGTGCACACCACCATGCCCGGCTAATTTTTTGTAGTTTTAGTAGTGACAGGGTTTCACTATGTTGGCTAGGCTGGTCTCGAACTCTTGACCTCAAGTAATCCACCTGCCCTGGCCTCCCAAAGTGCTCGAATTGCAGGCGTGAGCCACTGTGCCCAGTCTGCCCTCAATAATTTATAGTCTAATGGGGAGACATAACATATGCACTAACAGCTAGGAAACAAATAGAAAAAAAATGTTAAGGTGACATAAGAAAGTTGCTGATAGAGAGGCATGAGATTTCAAAGACGGGAGGAATATATCAGCTGGAAGGATCAGATAAGGATATGATGGAGAAGCTGCCATTTGAGCCAGCCTTCAAATGAAGATGAGAAAGATCTGGACATGCAGTAGGGAAGGACACTAGACACATCCAAAAGAACTTGTTATAGATCTTTCACAAGTACTATCTTATCTGAACTAGCCTAATTCAATGTCTAATATCCCAAAGAAAGTAAGCTCCAAGAGAGAAAGGACCTTATATAGCTTGTTCCTTATTGTATACTCTACCATCTAGACTACTACCTGGCAGGTAGTAGATGTTCAATAAATATTTATGAAGTTATGAACCTCACAAATAGCATTCCAAAACTCCAGAGGGACAAGGGTGCTAAAAGTTGCCTGTAAGTCACACATAAGAGTAAAATATGATCAATGCACTGCTACATAAAGTATTTGAGACCCTAAGTGATCTCATAAAAACCAGTCAGTGAAATTTCACTCCAAGCTTTGACTTGGAAAAGATTCCATTTCATGAAAGCATCGATTCAGGTAACTGAATTCAGTTCAAGTAACTGAAGCTGAATGAACTCAACTCCCTTGAAGCTGCCTAAAATGACCAGAGCAATTATGATTCCCCCAAAGATGACAGCATGCCAGAATTATCTCAATTTAACACATTGTCCTCCCTGTGGAAGAGAGAAGCAGCTCACAAGATAAAGTAAGGAAAACAATATAATCTCTGTCCATCCTTCTCTGTGTACAAGCTCTGGTCTCTATGGACCCAATCACTTGTCAGAGAGTGTTGTTTAAAAGAGAAGCAAAGGAAAAAAATGAGAATGAGAACCAAACAAACCTTCCCATTCCCTGGCCTGCAGCAGCAGCAGAAGCCTCCAGGTCTATGTCTACTCTCAAATAGAGAAGACGACCATAAACAGTCAACATACTTTCCCTGATGTTATGACACTATCAACTGATATCTGAATTCCTGCCCTGTTCTATTATGCATACTGATCAAGGCACAGACTCACATATATATACAATCCACCACGCTATAAATCCAGGAGAAAAGGCAAGGAATGCAATAAACTCCTACGCTACCTTCCATGAACAGATACCACTCGGTTCTGTTATAAAACAGGTTCCTTCATACATGGATGTTTCAGGTTGAGACCACTGTTAACATGAAGACACAGTACATGTGTTGCTAGAGGCTGCCAGAGTTTGTGAACATTTACCAATCTTAAATGCTGAATAATAGAGCTTCATGGGACTTTGGCTCCCTTTTTCCATATTTCACTTGTATTTGTAGGCTTTCTTTTTTTTTTTTTTTTTTGAGACGGAGTCTCGCTCTGCCCCCCAGGCTGGAGTGCAGTGGCCGGATCTCAGCTCACTGCAAGCTCCGCCTCCTGGGTTCACGCCATTCTCCTGCCTCAGCCTCCCGAGTGGCTGGGACTACAGGCGCCCGCCACCTCGCCCGGCTAGTTTTCTGTATTTTTTAGTAGAGACGGGGTTTCACCGTGTCGGCCAGGATGGTCTCGATCTCCTGACCTCGTGATCCGCCCGTCTCGGCCTCCCAAAGTGCTGGGATTACAGGCTTGAGCCACCGCGCCCGGCCTGGCTTTCGCTGCTAAACAATCTACAGTCTGCTGTCTGACTTAAGCAGAATGAAAAAGGACAATACAGCTACCATTTATAGCTAATCTCATTTTACCACTAACCAAATACAAAAGAACAGAAACTGTTTTTTTGTTCTTGGTGGGAGTAAGATGAGATTTGAGATGTTATGGAAAACAATGTCCAGAATTGAAGCGTGACATTGTAATGTGAAAGATACACTTTTTCTCATTCCCTACACACATGTACATTCTTCAGGTGGTCATGTACACTCCTAAACCTCTGACTACCCTCATTGTAGTAATGCCAGCCTATTTGCCAGGTGGTACCACCATAACCACCTATAGACTAAAGACTACCATAACCACCTATAGGCTAAAGACTACCACAGCAGCATATCCATCTAGCTCAGGCCATTCATCTGGATTAAATTTTAGATTCAGGTCAAGTACTGTGGCTCACAACTATAATCCCAACACTCTGGAATGCCAAGGTGGGAGGAAGTGTTTAAGCCCAGGAGTCCAAGACCAGCCTGGACAACATGGCAAAATTCCATCTCTACAAAAAATAAAAAAATTAGCCAGGCATGATGGTACACACCTGTAGTCCCAGCTACCCAGGAGGCTGAGGTGGGAGAATTACCTGAGCCCAGGAGGTCGAGGATGCAATGAGTAGTGATTGTACCACTGCATTCCACTGCACTCCAGCCTGGGTGACAGAGTGAGACCTGTCTCCAAAAAAAAAAAATAAATAAATAAAAATAAAAAAATAATAAAAATCCAGCTTTCACCTAGACATCTCTACCTGGATGTCCCAAAGGCAACCTGAAATGTCCAAAACCAGAAATCATCTTCCCTAACGTTGCTCTAGCACTGCCATCAATCACCTGATTGATCAAGTCAGTAACTGGAAACTGTTAGGCAGTATTATACAGTAGGTAAGAGTGTTCTTTAGGCTGGGCGCGGTGGCTCACACCTGTAATCCCAGCACTTTGGGAGGCCGAGGCAGGCGGATCACCAGGTCAGGAGATCGACACCATCCTGGCTAACACAGTGAAACCCCGTCTCTACTAAAAATACAAAAAATTGGCCGGGCGTGTGTGGTGGTGGGCGCCTGTAGTCCCAACTACTTGGGAGGCTGAGGCAGGAGAATGGCATGAATCCGGGAGGCAGAGCTTGCAGTAAGCCAAGATTGCGCCACTGCACTCCAGCCTGGGTGATGGAGCGAGACTCCATCTCAAAAAAAAAAAAAGAGTGTTCTTTAGAGAAATCAGAGAGACTGGAGGTTTGAATAACAATATGCACTGGCTTTGTGACTATAAGGAGTTATCAAACTTTCTGAGACTCAATTTCCTTATCTTTATAATGAAGACAATAATAGTACAAAAATCCAAATGGCTTCAGTGAGAATAAATGAAGGAATCCATGTAGAAGTGCTTGGCACAGTCCTGGAAAATAGTAAGGATTCCACAAACTCCCCCACAACATCTTATCAGTCATCAAAATCCATAGGCTTATGAATAGATGCCCCTTGCCTCCATCCTGACTGATAAGAGTTAGGATAGTGGCCAGGCACAGTGGCTCACTCCTCTAATCCCAGCACTTTGGGAGGCCAAGGCAGGAGGGTTGCTTGAGGTCAGGAGTTCAAGACTAGCCTGGGCAACATAGGGAGACCTCGTCGCTACAAAAATAATTTAAAATTTTTTCCAAGCATGGTGGTGTACAACTGTGGTCTCAGCTACCTCGGAGGCTGAGGTGGGAGGATGGCTTAGACCCAGAAGGTAGAGGCTTCAGTAAGCCATGATTGTACCACTGCACTCCAGTCTGGGCAACAAAGCAAGATCTTGTCTCAAAAAAAAAACGATATCAAGACTTCACCAAGATTACTGCAATGACTTCTTGGCTAGTCTCCCCTAGTTACAGTAATAAACTTTCTTCATCCATTCTCCATATTATAGTCAGAGTGATATATCTCAACATTTCCCAGAGTATTAAATGGCATTAAAGAAATATTTATATTTGCATTTGAGATATAATATTACAGTTGCATTTGACACATACCCCAGAGCGTTCAGGGTAAAGTCCAAACAAGAATTCCTCTAATCTGGTCCTGTTTAATCTTCTACCACTCCTCAGTTTTATCTCTTGCTACACCTTTCCTTAGCACACTACAGTAACCTGGGACTACTTGCGTTTTCCAGAAAGAGTCATGCTTTCTCTCACTTCTGAGCCTTTATAATGCTATCCACGCTGCTTAGATGTTTTCCCTTTCCCATCTGCCCCTCTAGAACTCCTATTGTCCTTTAAGTCTCAGCTAAGGTATCACCTCCTGGGGAAGTATTTCTAGTATGTGCTACCTCAACACTATGCACTTATCTCTGTCACAACACTGCC